AAAAATGTGCTATATGACATTTTCCTGTCATGGATGAATGATCAATCTTTATATTTATTAGAGAAATCACAGTTGCTAGAATTCATGATATACATATATAATTACTAACTATACCCATCAATGAAAAAATTATATCTAATTGATTTCTCTCATTTTTTTATAGATTTTGCATACATTTTTAATCACCTTCATTTCTTTTGTTTAATGAGAACAAACAACAATATACAATTACCACATTTTTCCATAATCAAATAGACTATTGACATTTATCTAAATTAAAATAGAATTGCAATATTTTCATATTCGGCCCATGCACAGAGTTATGTCGTTATACAATGTAAGAAAACTGTGGAGCCCAGAAGCCTTAATCTGCGTGCCCAGTGTTGATCACGACAAATTATTATCTGGTCTCAGTTTTCAAATTTATTATAAATTTGATTTTAAGTTGAATAGTTTAGCAAAATTCAACAAACACAACACTCTGTAATTATATAAATAAACTAATTGTCATAAAACTTGCTAAACGACTGAATTTTATTTTTCCCTTCTTCATCATATAACTAAATTTGGTTTTTCTACAATTATATAACTAAACTTTTTGTTATAATTGGTGTTACATATTATTATATTATACAGTATTGAATTCTACCATCATATCTATTATGATTGAATGTGTAACATAAGTTTATTTATGAGTCCGGCAAAGTAAGGTGTCAGACTGCAGCAGCAGCAGATAAAATATAAAGTTACGAAAGAAATAAAGGTATAGCGTATATGAAAAAACAAAATAGCATAAGATAATAGATCAAGATTCAAGTGTAACATAAAAAAGAAATAAAGCAGCCTAATTAAAAGAATATATATATATATATATATATATTTATATATTCTTTTGTTTTTTCTCACCTGGAAAAAAATATTTCGTTGCTACATGAGATTATATAATTTTTTTTAAAAAAGAAAAAAGAAAGGATGATCGTATTAAGTTAATGTTCATGTTTACAGAAAATTATTCAAACGTAGGATTGGACTTGTGTGAGACAGGATAAAATATAGTTGTTTCTTGTTAATTAAAATATAGAAGTTGTTATAGCAATTATCATATAATTATTGATCAGTACATGCAAAAAGCAAAGTTGACCGCGTGTCATTCCTAAGTCCATAGTTGTAATTTGTAGAATTCCAAAACACTACGAGTAGCAGTGTTAAACGGGCCGGTTCACTTCGACCCGCGGTTCAAACGGGGCGGACTAAAATGGTCCGCATTTCTACGGGTTGGAAAATCCATGGCCTGTGGCTCGCTCGCGGGTTTTTTGGTATTATGCACTCTTATATCAGAAATTCTTTAGTGCTATAAGCTATGCCATAATATGATGTGGCACATGAGTTGGTTTTATTAATTTTATTTACTAAATTAACTTATGGCAGGCTTTAGTAATACTTTGCTTAATTAAGTGTTTGCAAAAATGGGCAAATCAATTTCTCGTGAAAAAGAACATCCACAGATATGAAATTCGAATCTAAAGGTTGAGAATTTCAGCCTCGCCTTGCGTCGGCCCGTCCGACCCGAAGCCAAAACCCTACACCTGTTTCCCGACCTCACCCACCGCCCGAGACGGTCTATCTCCGCCCTCCATGTTTTCATTTATTTTCTTTCTTTTCCTGTTTCGTTTGAATTATATAAATTATCAACAATTAATATTCCCCTCAATTCAATTTTCCTTTGTCTGCTTCTTGTTTTTGTTTAGTTTCTCACAAATTTTTTTATGGGGTTTTTGTAGTTTCGTGGCTTTAGAATTTAGGTGCTTCAACCTAATTTTGGAGTTTAATAGTAAAAATGCATTATGTCTGAAAATCTGTGATATTTGGTTGTCGAGGGCTATCTGTAAGCATTCTGAACAGTTTGATCAGTTATATGAACCAACTGTTTAGCTGGCATGAGGAGCAATGAACTCTCTCTAACCTGGAGAGTACAAACTGCCGACGGTCGTCTGCGGAGTAGGCACGAATTTTCTCACGATTTTTTTTTTATTTCTTTTACAAGTATGTTTATTCTTATGGAAAAATCTATGAACAGGGGAACAATCCTATTTAAGAAGGATTGCTTAATTGTTTATAGCCACCTCATATGTGCCATGTTTGGAATTGATAAATAAATCAATGAAACCAACTCATGTGCCACATCATATTATGGCATGACTTATGAACACCATAGAATTTCTGACTCTTATATACTTTTTGGTTTGTGTATTCTTATATTTACTAGTATGTTAATAAACTAGTAAGACTTCATGTGTAATGATGTTAAATATTTGTCATCCAGTTTTTATTTTTATTTTTTTATGAATAGTTATCGGATATTCACGCGGAGGAGAGACTTAATTCACATAAAATATTATTTGATTCATTAATATTTTTATTATGTAAAAAAGTGTTTCATGTGCATTCACAAATCTTAATATCATTGTCAAATTTTAAAAAATATAAAATAAATAAATATGGAAGAAGAAGAAGAAGAATAAAAAAAAAAGACAAATAAAGACAAAATCCAACAAAATAAAAAAATGGGTGGACCGCGGGCCGAACGGGGCGGGCCAAATAGGCCAGCGATTGAACGTGTTGGCCAAGCAAAGGCCCAAGCCCGTCCATTAAGGCGGACAGACGGGCCAGTCCGCGGGCCATGGCCCGTTTTGACAGTGCTAACTAGGAGTAATATTTCTCAATTTATGGCCTTTTGTCGTTTGGTCCCTGAGCCGAACCAGCCCGAAATCTCCGAGCTTTTTTACTTTGTGCAAGCAGAGGTCAGGGCCGAGGCGAACCCGACTGCAATGTTGTACCTGTAGCACCACTTCAATGGGTTCCATATTTTCACTTCCTTTTCAAAAACCTCCCGATAAATTCAAAAACTACAATCTTTGAATTCACAACCCCTTTTCATTCTCTGTATTGTGACCTGATCGTTTGAGATTTCGAGTAATATTTTGAGATTTTTTCAGATTTAAGACTTTTAAGATTCTTAAATTTTGAAATGAAATCTTAAGTTTGTAAGTAGAGTTTAGAATGACATTTTGAGACTGATAAGATTTTCAGTTTTTGAAATTTGTAGGTGAAATTTAGAATAAAATTATGTATATGATATTTTTTCTGTTGAAATCCCATCAAATCTTAAAAAGTTTTAACAAATCTTAATCTCAAATAAATTATACCTCAAGATTTTTAAAAAACCTAAAAAGTCTAAGTAAATACACAAGAATTTCTGAAGTTTTAAAAGGTTTTTAAAAATCCCAAAAGATTACATCCTCCTTAGTAGACATGTCCACGGGTCGAACCGGCCCGGACCCGGACCGAACCCGGCCCGGAACCGGCCCGGAAAAGCCGGTTTTCGGCCCGGAACCGGACATATCAAGGGCCGGTTCCGGTTCGCTTCAGCAAAAAAAAAACCCGACGGGCCGGGTCCGGGCCGGTCCAGGCCGACCGTTGGACCCGGCCGGCCGGGCCGGGTTCCCGGGTTCGGTCCTCAAAATTCAAAAAAAAAAAAATTTTAACGGGCCGACCGTTGGAAGAAGGCCGAACGAAGGATGCAAACTGCTATGCTCACTTCGAATGAGGAGGAAGACGACAACGACGATGCATCCGATTTTACGTCGTCGACAAGTGGAACCGGGGGGGACGTCGAAGACGAATACGAATATTAAAGGTATGCAGCCAAGGTATGTGATTTAGAAGAACTACGTGGACTTTGATTCCCAAATAAAGGGATACGTAGGCACCTTATTTAACATTATTAAGTTCGAGTATAATTTTTTGGCAACAAAATTTTTCATCGTACACGATATTCGAACTTAATAACTGTTAACTAAGCTCAAGTCCATTACATTAATAATTTTTTTCTTTACACTTATTCGACTTCATTTGACGTACAATTTAGCATTTCTAAACTACCTCAAGTTGTACTTCTCCGCCATACTCAATAAAATACAACACCGTTAACCGTTTGGTTCCAAGAATTGACGCCCGATCATTATTTTTGTTTCATTTTGAAATGATATAGACAAACAGACTCAAAAACTTATATTTTCGAAGTATATACAAACTATTTATTCAAATAAACATTAATATACATTAAAATAACAAAAAAAGTAAAAAACCCGCAAACCCGCCGGGCCCGACCCGGAACCGACTCGACCCGCCGGGTTTGCGACCCGGCGGTTAAGGGCCGGTTCAGTGAACCGGCCCTTAGTTACAAGCGGGCCGGGCCCGGTTCACTACACGGTGAACCGCCGACCCGGCGGGCCGGGCCGGGTTTCGACCCGGCCCGGCAAATGGACACGTCTA